TGAGCTGGAGGGACCTCGGGAAGGATTTCGAGGCTCTAGGGGACCAAGGGAAGGCGGTCGAGGCTACCGGGAGCAGCGGGATGGCAGCAGAGGCTTCAGAGGACGACGGGACGGGAGCAGAGGAGGCAGCTTCAGGGGACAGCGAACAGAAACAACCGATCCCAAAACAGAGGCCAGAAGCGGAGTTTTGGTAAAGCCTTTGGTTAGTAAGGACAGGATGGGCAGCGTGGAACTGAACTGTTTTTATACAGTTTAAAGCACTTTGTGCTTCTCTTCCGCCACTTGCCTCAGTCCTCATTTCTCCAGGGAGACCATGCTTTATCCACATGGTTTCATCAGATCATTATCATTTGTAACTTTGTTACTATTTTTGTATGAGGATATATCCTTTCAAAAAGGTGTATGGATTCTCTATATTGTAATAAATTATCTGTATTACAGGGGGGGAAAAAAAGGAAAGCCTGGATGAACTCTATAATCCCAAATCCACAGTATGAACAGTCTTCCAAGCATAATAAAACCCCTACAACTAGGAGAGAACAAAATAGATGAATGGGACCTTCTACGAATCAAATCCCTATGCACATCAAAAACCTTCAAAAGGGTAAAAAGGAAAGCCACAGACTGGGAAAAAAACATTCGGTAATGACATGTCTGATAAGGGACTCATATCTAAAATTTATAGAATACTCCAGCACTTCAACAAGAAAATTATAAACAATCCAATTGTAAAATGGGTACAGGATATGTCACCAAAAAAGACATTCAGATGACAAACAAACAAATAAATGTTCAAAATCCCTAGCTATCAGAGAGATACAAATTAAAATAAGTATGCGATATCTTACCCCAGCAATGACAAAAAAGTTCAACAGAGCCGCAAACAACAAATGCTGGTAAGGTTGTGGGGAGAGTGGAACCCTTATTCCCTGCTGGTGGGAATGTAAAATGATTCAACTACTATCTTCCAAATTTCTTGGCATAGAGTAGTGAGCATCTTCATGACTGGGTCTGTTTGTCAACTGGTATTCAATCAATTCCTAGGGCCTTATTTTATAGTCAATGCCTCCAATGAAGCTTGAACTTCTTCCTTCATTACTATTGGTTTTTTAAAAAATTTTATTATAAGTTATTTCCAGAAGTGTTTCAGCGTTGACCACTTCTTTTTGGTACAGTGATTCTATGCTGTGTGTTCGTTCCATCTTCTTTTGATATTTCCTGCATTATTCAAGATTTTGCCCACAGAATCCTTCAGAATTGCAACTCAAGGCTTGAATGTTTTTCAATTCTTTCAATCTGAGAAATTCTAGGCATGTTCCTCCCTTCAATTTTCTAACTCCAGCTCTTTGCACATTTCTTTGTAATACTTTGCTATGTCTTTTCAAGGTGCCTTTTAAAATCTTCTTTTTCTCTCTTTTCCTTCAGCATTTGGTCCATTTTGGCCTCTTGACATTCTATTTTCACAGTCTCTTATGACACCCATTTTAGTTTTCTCCTCCTCCTCCTCTTCCTCTTTCTAACTACTTTTTGCTTTGTTCCTGGATGATACTTTTTATGTCACTCCTCAACACATCTGATAGTTTATCATTAATGTTTAATGCCTATACTTGGGATGGTTTTTAAATATAGGTGAGATAGACTTAAGTCCCTATTTTGGTTCTTGTGGACTTGTTTTTCTTTAATTTGAACTTGCACATGAGTAGTCGATAATCTGTTTCACAGTCAGCACATGGCCTTGTTTTGATTGTTGTTATTGAGCTTCTTCATTTACTCTAGATATAGTCAGTCTGATTCCTGTTAAGGTCATCAGGTGAAGTCTATGCGTATAGTTGCCACTTATGCCTTTTTAATAAGATATTTGTAATAAATATATATTTCTATCATTCAATCAGCAGTCTTCTTTCTGTCACTAAGTGCCTATTTCTGAACTACCAGTCCTTCTTATTTATTTCTTATTTGTTTTATTCCAGTAATAAATTATTATTAATGCATCTTGATTGTATGTTTGATCTATTTCATATTGCAAAAATTTATAGAAGTTCTCAATTTTATTGTCTTTTGCTTTAGTGTTTGGATATATATTTAAGTAACGGTTGTATAACAGGCCTCCCTTCCATGTGTATGGATAGCGTCCTGATACTACAGATTTGTTCTTCAGGATAGATCTTGAAATGTTTTGGGGTTTTGTTTTGTTTTTTACTATGAATACAATCCATTTTCTTCAATTTGTCATCCCTGGAATAACAGATCAAATAATTGTCTGATTTAAACTGGTCAATACAAGTCCATTTGTGCTCAATAATGCCTATGATGTAGTACTTAAAACTTTTCATTATCTTTTCTTTATCAGCCTGTAGGCATTTTTACCAACTAAACAAGGTATACGAAATTACTTCCATGTGGCCATATTTACAAAAACAATCTCTGGAGTATCATGACTCAGACTGCCAGACCCTCACCCTTCTGTTTTGTAAATTTTT